AGCAAAAAATTTGAGTTTCACAACATGTCAAGCTTTTTGAATGCAATTTTTTACTTGAAATACCTTGATAACGACTCCGAATAATCTTGCGACTTTGATAGAGCAGATAGAACATTTTGTACATTTTGTTCCTGACTTCATGGTCTAATTAAGTACCCAAAACGGCCAAAACTGTCTGGTGGAACTTTGTACTTCTGAGGTAGCGAAATGTACTTTTATAATGGAGGGGCGGGGGAGGGAATGGGGCGCTCAATTATGGCCTTATGAGCATAAACAAGCTCTTTTGTTAGTTTAGTTTTAGTAGAGGTTTTACGGCGCTCGCAACTGCATAAGGTCATTTGAGCGCCAGAAAATTAGAGGTGTTAGTGTTACAAGAGAGTCATCATCATCCAGTGCCAGATCTGCGACAGACATCGGCGATCATGGTTCTCCATTCATTCCTTTGCTCGGATGCTCTTAAAAAAAGCTATGTTTCCCTGATTTCTCCCTGTTACCAATTTCTTTAGGTTACCCAAGTATGTTGATCTGGGCCTACCCCTGCCTCGCTTGCCCTCAATTGTGCCAGTGAGTGCTAGGTGTTTAAGATGTTGAGATATAATACAGAAACAAAAGACAGATATGTGATATGTTGAAATATAATAGTTGAAACAAAAGACAGATATGTGAAATGTTGAGATATAATAGCCGAAACAATTGACAGAAAAGTGAAATTTTGAGATATAATATGAAAAAACAAAGGACAGAAATATGAAACGTTGAGATATAATACGGAAAAAAAGTAGTCAGAAATAGACATCTAGTAAAAATTTAGATTTAATACGGAAACAATTATATAGACAGAAAAATGTTGACATTTATTACGGAAACAATGGACAGAAATGTGAAATGTTGAGATATAATAGCTGAAACAATAGACAGAAGAGTAAAGAAAAGTTAGTAGGCCTATATAATAGCCGAAACAATTGACAGAAAAGTGAAATGTTGAGATATAAAACAGAAGCAATGGACAGAAATGTGAAATGTTGAGATATAAAACAGAAACAATAGACAGAAAATAGTAAATGTTGAGATGTAAAACAGTGAAATGTTGAGATATAATATGAAAAACAATGGACAGAAATGTGAAATGTTGAGATATAATACGAGATATTAGTCAATGTTGATATAGACGAAAATAACACACACAAAACTGCCGTTATGATGCATTCGGTTCACGAACTTAACTAACACAATAGGGCCTACTGATGCGGAGGGCCAGGGTTTGAAGCCTTCGATTGACCTTTGAATCTTTTCCGTCAGCGAATTTTTCTTTTTTTTCCCCTTTTTGTCAGCGAATTTTTCTTTTTTCTTTTCTTTTAAAACTTTCAGCAGTAAGCCTTTTCTGCGTATTAAGGAACTTCGTCATCGACGAACAGAAGAAAGCTGCGCCTTCGCTACCTTAGAATTACAGAATTATAATATATAAT